GATGTAATTTTTAAGGCTTATGTGTTTACCAGTGAAGGTAAAGTAGGGTGTAGTGATTGGGAGAGGCATCCAGGGATGCTTCTTTCTTTTATTTTTATTTATTTATCTGGCTGCTTTGGGTCTTAGTTGGGGCATGCAGGTCGCGGTGCATGGGCTCTTGGTTCTGGAGCGTGGGCTCTAGAGCGCTTGGGCTTACTTGCCCCACAGCATGTGGGATCTTAATTCCCCAACCAGGGATGGAACCCACATCCCCTGCATTGGTAGGTGGATTCTTAACCACTGGACCACCAGGGAAGTCCTCAGGGATGCTTCTGAATGTGTTTATTATTTCATGATGAAAGAAGAGGTTTGAAAAAGATTTTGTGGAAGATCAGTATTAAGTGCTTTTTTTTCAGTTTGGCTTTGCTAGATTAGACAGAATGTGGTATTTTTAATGCCCTTCCTCCCTCCCTTCCTTCCCTCCCTCCTTTCTCTTCCTTCCTTCCTTCCTTTCTTTTTCTTCCTTTCTTTCTTCCTCTCTTCCTCTTTCTTTCTTTCTTTCTTGCCTTGTGGGGGTGGGGAGGAGGAATACACCTCATTCTTACAAGGTTTTCTATTTCTCCTTTTTCTGAAACAACAGTTATATAATGCCTTGCATCCATTGACTCTTAGGTGTGTGCCCAGTGCTCTGCTGCAAACTTGACATTCATTGTGGCCCTTAACACAATGACCTCATGAGGCAGGTGCTATTGTTATTATTCCCATTTTGTAGACTAGGTTTAGAGAAGTTAATTAATCTGCTCAGGCCACACACCTAGTATGCGATGAGCCTGGATTTATGCAGTAATGACCATTTTCTCTCTCTGAAGATTCCTTTGAGTTACTTCAAAATCCAGTCTTCAGCCTGGTCATTAGAAAGAGGTTGCAGTCTCTTCCACACACCTGGAGACAGTTCCCGGCTGGAGGGTGAACCTGGATTAGAAGGGAGTGGGCTTGAGCTAGGATATGACATGAGGCTATAATCATAAAGTTAATTCACTTTCCTTCCTTCTCTTTTGAAAAGTTTTCCAAAGCATGTTTTCTTCCCATGTGTCCCCTGAAAAAGGGGACCCCAGGGAAACCTTGGTTTGGAGAAGCTAGGCTGTATAGGAGAGCCTGTTGAAGGTGGCCTGGGGATAAGAGTCTATGATGGTCTTTTCTTTTTCCTTCCAGTCTACCCCAGGCAAAGTCAGAGAGGCTGTGAAGGTGGCCACTGACATAGGATGTCGCCACTTGGACTGTGTTTATGCCTACGAGAACGAGCATTAGGTGGCAGGGAGCCATCCAAGAGAAGATCCGAGAGAAGGTTGTGAAGCAGGAGGTGGGAGGACTGCACTTCAAGGCAAGCACAAGTATTGGATTTGGTCGGCACCTGGAACTCTGCCAGCCTTTGCTCTAAGTACTCTGGTCATTTCCCCCAGCTGTCTTCATTTCCCCTGCTGCCTTTATAACATCCCTGGATACAAACATCCACACTCTAGCTCAGTATTGGTGTACAGAGACGCTACTGCTACCCTACCCATCTCGATTGGGTTTTCCCTTTGTGGGGATGGCTCCATTGAGCCATGGCAGTGCCCTTAGCATCCCCGTTCCCCATCAGTGGGCTCCATCTGCCCCGTGGCAGTTAAAAGCTAAGGCTGCGGTCAGAAATGGATCCTGAAGCTCCACTTTTTTTTTTTTTTTTTTTTTGCGGTATGCGGGCCTCTCACTGCCATGGCCTCTCCCGTTGCGGAGGACAGGCTCCGGACGCGCAGGCTCAGTGGCCATGGCTCACGGGGCCAGCCGCTCCGCGGCAATGATGGGATCTTTCCAGACTGGGGCACAAACCTGTGTCCCCTGCATCGGCAGGCGGACTCTCTACCACTGCGCCACCAGGGAAGCCCTGAAGCTCCACCTTTCGGCACTGTGGTCTCAATGGTTGTGGCCATTCTCAGCCAGCAGGTATTTTGGAAAATGTCATATGTCATATGTCATATGTCATATGTTATGTCATATGTCAAATGTTATTGTCATATATGAATTTCATTTTAGTTCAGCCTAGTAAAGGCAAGTTACAAAATGTTATTTAAAAGCCTTTCCTCCTGCTTTCCTCTCTATCCATGGGCTGAATGGAAAATTCCTCTCCACGCTTTGGTTAATCCTTACGACGGTGGATCCTGTAACAGATACTCCTGTCCCAGAGAGGACTAAGCCAAGCCAGGATCCCTGGGGTCCCTCTAGCACTGCCCAAAGGTGTCCCTTTCTATGACAGGCCGTGGAGGAACTGGTGGACAAGGGGCTGGTGAAAAACATTGGGATCTCCAGCTTCAACCACTTCCAGATCGAAAGGCTCTTGAACAAACCTAGACTGAAATACAAACCAGTGCTTACCAGGTAAATTCTGTTTAGTAAAGGGTAAGGGTCCTGCGCTATTACTTCTTAAACATTTGGAGGCAAGTTCAATGCTTTGCACTGAGTCTTATTTGAAGGTCAGTCATCAGGTTCTTCGTTGGTCATGTGAGACAGCTCTTGGGGTCTGGTTTAGCCAGGCTAGCAGTGGGCAGTGTTTGGCTTTTGCTTGACAGTCTTTTTTTTGTGTGTAGAACTCCCTATGAGCAGCTCAAAAAGCAGGTGGACTTTCCTAGTGATGATTGTTCCCTTTTACAGATTGAGTGTCACCCATACCTCAGGCAGGAGAAATTGATCCAGTACTGCCAGTCCAAGGGCATCATTGTCATGGTTTATAGCCCTCTGGGCTCTCCAGATAGACCTGGGCGAGGCATTTGATCTTTCTCTTGACATTCTTTAAGAAAAGCCAACAGATGGCTAGTGGGAAGCTGTTGCTTAGCACAGGGAGATCAGCTCAATGCTTTGTGATGACCTAGAGCGGTGGGATAGGGAGGGTGGGAGGGAGGCTCAAGAGGGAGGGGATATGGGGATATATGTATACATATAGCTGATTCACTTTGTTGTACAGCAGAAACTAACACAACACTATACTCCAATAAAGAGTATAAAATTATACTCCAATTATACTCCAATAAAGATTATTGGAAAAAATAATACTCCAAAAAATTATACTCCAATAAAGATATGTATTTTAAAAAAAGCCATCAGAAAGAAAAATGCGTGTAATGCAATGTGCCTGGCATACTTAAACAGTGGGGAAAATAAGGTAACTTTACAAAAAACAGCAACATGCCTGACCCTCTGGAATTACTCTGGTTCAGCCACCCAGCACTGGATCAACCTTTGCAAAAATACTGATGATTCAAAGCCCATGGGTAAGACATGAAGCTTTCAAATCCTGCTTCCTTGTCTCCCACATGGAGAAGACTGATGATCAGCCTTGGGACCATCGCCGGAGTAATATTTATCTACATATGGTAGCCATGGTGATTATTCACGCCAGCCATCTTTCTCCCTCTAGGGCCAAGGGTCCTTAATCTAGGACTCTTCCCTACTGGAGGATCCCAAGATTAAGGAGATTGCTGCAAAGCACAAAAAATCCACAGCCCAGGTACAAGGTATATAGTTTCTTTTCCGTCCAGCAGATCAGTCTTGTGTTTTATTCCTTGTGCTGTCTTCATTTAACTCCTTGAAGGCGAAAAAAACAGGAAAGGAAGCCCACTGAGGCCCTTCCTTGAAAGCCTGTTTGTTTGGAACTCCAGGAAATCCCATGGTTATCACTGAAACAAGGATGGCATCTAATGGCGTCTGTTGAGTCCTGTTGTCCAGGAAGAAGAGCATGGCTATGCAGCCAAAAGATTTGGGTTCAGATCCCAGTTCCACTACTTATCAGCCTCATGACCCCAAACACTGTCCCAAGCCACTTTCCTTATTTTTAAAAAAGGAAGGTTATGGAGTTGTTGTGAGGATTAAGGGAGATAACTGGCAGAGGACTGACAAGCGTCTGATAGTTATGAAGTGCTCAGTCAATACTAGCTGTTGTACTAAAGATACAGTGAGTGGCAGGGATGTTTTATTTTTCTGAAAAAGTAGAGGGAGCAGTCCTTGTAGATAAGTGGAAACACCACATTCCCTTCTGCACGGGTTCTGATCTGGTTCCATATCCGGAGGAACGTAGTCGTAATTCCCAAGTCTGTGACGCCAGCACGCATTGCTGAGAACTTTCAGGTAAGATTCCAGCTGGTTGGCCCTGGTTTTCTCAGTGAAGGAGGGGATGGGAGAGATTCCCTCACCAGGCCTCTCATGCTGTCCCTGAGTTTTCTGTGGGCTTTTCCCCCTTCCCAGCACCTTGCAATCTCTCAGGCCAGGGAGCTGACCTCAGAGCTGAGATGAATGACCAAGGATGGGCTGGGGGAGCAGCCGGTGAGGTCCTGTCAGGTCTGAGCACAGCTGTACCTCTGATCTGATCACAGGGACTCTGCTATCTTGAGGATATGAAGATTTAAAAGAATAAAGAATAATAATAACCAACATGCATGGAGAATTTACCCTGTGCCAGCACTATTTGGAATGCTTTTTGTATGTGTTACTCACTGAATCCTGCAAGCACCCCTTGGAGGTAGATACTCTTACTCACATTTTACAGAAGATGAAATGCAGGAATGGGGAGGCCAAGGAACTTGCTCAAGGCCACCCAGGTTGTAAGTGGCTGAACCAAGTTTCAAAGGCTCTTGGGAGATCTTTGGTTTCGCTGGCAATCAAAACGTCATCTACATACTGAAGTAAGGTTCCTTCGTATAACTGTAGGTTCGTTAGCTCTTTGGCTAGGGCTTTCCTGAAAATGGTGGGGGCGTTCTTGAATCCCAGGGGTAAGCACGATCCAGCAAAACTGCTGTTTCAATTTGGTCTCTGGGTCATCCCATTCAAAAGCAAAAAATCCTAAGATTCGGGACTTAAGGGTGTGCAATAAAAGGTGCCTATGGTCCATAACCGTAGGGCCAGCAGAAATCCCAGGATAAAGTTGTAAGTAACGTATAGGGATTGGCTACCACCAGATGAATGTCCTCAGCTATCTGATTTATTGCTCTCAGGTCCTGTACAAAGTGGTATTCGTGGGTCCCCGGCTTCTGGACTCGTAGGATGGGAGTGTTGTATGGTGACTGGCAGAGGCAGATGAGGTTATGTTCAAGGAAGGCAGATATTACTGGCTGGATTCCCTTTCTGGCGTGTTCCCTTAAGGGCTATTGTTTTAAGTTCAGGATCTTAGACCCGGGATGGAGTTTCACCAGTACAGGTGTTACCATCTTTGCTCTTCTTGGCCTCCTATCTGCCCAAACATCCTATCTTACCTTCTGCAGGATCTCTTCAGGAAATTCCAGGCACTCACTTTCCTAGCTATAGTAATGTTGCTTGAAGCGAGCAAGCTTGTTCTGGTGGCACCTTAATGCCCATCCTTTCTTTGGAGAAAGTTACTCTTGAATTTAGTTTACTCAAGAAGGCTCGTCCCGGCAGAGGTATTGGACACTCAGGCATGTACAGGGAAACTGCTTCAAATCAGTCTCTCCTATCTGACACTCCAGTGGCTTCCAAAAGGGCTTTTGGAGAGGTTTTGGAGACAGTCACGATCTCTGAGGAGGCTTTGGCCAGTTTAGAGTTTAGCACAGAGAAAGTAGGCCCGGTATCAATCAAAAAATGAACAAGCTTATTTCCAACAGTCATTTTTACCCAGGGCTCCTTGTGGGAAATATCAGTGGAGCCAGTAGTTCCTAGGGGAGACCCTGGGCCCTGTCATTCTTGGTCACTATCAATCATCTGGGGCATCAGCGGAAGGGGCTGTGACCAAATTATTTCCATATCTGCGGTTTCCCTGGCACTCTGAAAGACAAGCTTGGGGGTCTCAGTTCATCATTTTGTTTCTACCTCATGGGCCTTGTAAATGACAGCATATGTCACACTTCCCATCCACATTTTTATATTTTTGCTGTTTATTTATATATCCATAAATAATCTATGAGATTGTTTTGGGTGTTTTTTAAAATTAAAAAAAATTTTCCTTCATGTGATTATGATTTCCTTAATTAAAAAGCTTAGGTATAGGATAAAAAGATTAGGTTCCTATTAATAAGTTATATGACATTTTTTGTTTCACTTGAATTTAACCAAACAGAGGTGAATTAAAATGCTGATATAGAGAAATATTTTAAAAAACAACTTCCTAGTTTTTCCTGATTTCACTTTTCACATTTACACCTCGAGTAATGAGAACTTTGCAGGCCTCAGACCCTTCAATCTCACAATTCTAACCAAGACAATGAATTCATCCTAAAATTTGTTCACTGATTTTGGATTGCTGGGAATAAAGTCACACTAGTCGTCAGCTAAACCTGAATCCAGTCTAAGATATACACTACAGGTGTGTGTTAAATTAACTCTTTCTACTCTATGATTACGTGATTATGTAGTGAACTTCCCTTTTCTTACGGGGAGAAAGGTTGGGGAGTGATGGGGAGGGGAGGATGGTGAGGTGGGGTGTGGAAAGGAAGGCAGCTTGTCATGGGAAGTAGGGGACCAGGGAGTGGGTCCTCATGTCCCAGGTATGTCTCTCCACCCGTATTTTTGGATTGAGCTGGAAAGATGGGTACCAGCTAACTGGAAATCTGGGAATCACTGCTGCTGTCCTACAAGTCCCAGGGAGTCTCAGGACTAGACTGGACCCATTAGTATATAAGTCAGATCTGGTAAATGCCAGCCAGATGGTACCAAACTCCAACTGGGACCTGGAGGGATTGACTTTCTCAATAAGACCCCATAATGCCCAACCTCTCAGGCCTGCTTTAGTCATTCATTAACTTGCAATAATTGCATTTTACATGACTAGAATTTTGTACCCTACTTATTGCATTATTGTGAGATTTTGCTATACATTATAGAGTTAAAAGGGGTACAGATTAGAGAGAGGCTCCTGTAGAAAATAATTTCCAGTAAAATTTGAAAGGACCCTCATCAGTGAACATTGTTGGAAATAAGTATTTTTTTTGCTTTAATATTGAGTACACATGAGTATAAGAGTGAAACATAAAACTGAACGTAAAAACCATGCAAAAATAATAAGCTGTAAAGAATCTTGGAAAAAAACATTTGCCATGAATGTGACAGAAAACAGATGAGTAATTTTCTTACAATCAAAAAAGCTTATTCAAATCAGTAAGAAAAATCTAAGATGTCAAAAGAAAAGTTGGTGAATGAAAATTGGCCAATAAACAACATGAAAAGTTATTCATACTAGTAACCAAAAATGCAAATTATAACAAGCTATCTACACTATCAAATCAATAAAGCTATCTAGCAAAATAAACATGTAAGCAGGTTTTTTTTTTCTATGTGGTAACCAGTGAATTTCATGTTTGTTATTCTCTTACATAATTTTCATATTTTCTAAAATAGGAAATTCATGTTTACAATCAGAGATGTAAACATTTTTTAAGCATTAAAAAAAAATAACAAGGATCCAACTCAATCAGTTATTTCACACACCTATGGGGAAAGTCAAATCAAAGAAACATTTTTACTTGAAGTCATTTTCATTCAGTTGGTCTTTCAACTTTAGAAAACAAACACCCTGAGTGTACTACAGGGTGGAATGTGATTACATTGTATTTAAAATTCTATCCAGTTTGGTTTTTTCTCATTTGTTGTCAGTAGGGTAAATGTTTTCCCAGCAACTCCAGGAAAGTGCTGCCTTTCAGCACTTTTGTTGGTTCAAAATGGTCAGGCCCCACGTCAGTTAGGGAGAGATGGAAAGACCAAGGAGAAGACTTTGACCATTGTTTAGAAGTTACACACGATAGGTGGTTTGAGGTTACCACTGTGTTTGTGGCCTAGGGCCTTTGCCCGGGTTATTCTCAATGCTTGGGATGCTTTATCTACCCTCAGATAGTGTGAGTGATTCTCTGCCTCATAGCCTTCAGGTCTTTGCTCATTTATCATCTTCTCAGGAAGCCCTTCTTTCCCCACCCTATTTAAAATTAATCCATCTTCTCTGGGGCTCCCTCTTTTTCCCCTGTTTTCCTTTCTTCCATAGCATTTATTTACCTAACATATTATGTATTTTATTTATTTGTTGTTTGCTTGGTTGCTTGTTTTGTTTCTACCTAATAGAATGTAAGATCTATGAGAGCAGGAATTTTTGTCTGTTTATTTTTATTTTATTTTTATTCTGATGTTTCAGATGAGAAAGCTGAAACCAGGTTTCTTAATTGTTACAACCCATGGTGCCTACCTACCTACCTACGCTGAAGTGATTCTATGAAGGACTCTACAACTAATCATAAATTGTATTAATTACTGTTATTGGATTAAATGTTTGTTACGGAATTCACATGTTGAAATTCTAACTCCTAATGTGATGGTATTAGGAGGTACGATTTTGGGGAGGGGATTAGGTCATGAGGGTAGAACCCTCATGAATGGGATTAGTGCCCTTATGAGAAGACACAGATCCTCCCCCCAGACATGAGAGATGATCTCTCTCTGCCATGTGAAGATACAATGAGAAGATGGCCATCTGCAAATCAGTAAGTGCCAGATCTGCTGGCACCTTGATCTTGGACTTTGCAGCCTCCGGAACTGTGAGAAATACATTCCTGTTGTTTAAGCTACCTCTAGCCCATGGTAACTTGTTATAGCAGCCCAAGCTGTCTAAAACAGTTACTAAGGGGAAAGAGTTCGTTTACGGTGGAGAAAGGTGGCAGATACCTCTGGTATTAGTTTTCTACTGCTGTGTAACAAATCATCACAAATGGCTTGAAACAACATCCACTTACGATCTCACAGCTCTGTAAGTCAGATCCAACTGGGTTCTGCGCTCAGGGTCTCCCAAGACTGAAATCAAGGTGTTGGCCAGGCTGGAATTTCATCAGGAGGCTTTGGGGAAAAATTTTCCTTCAAACTCATTCAGGTTGTTGGCAGAGTTCTGTTCCTTGTAGCTGTAGGACGGTCCCCATTTCCCTGTGGCTGTCAGCTGGGGGCTGCTCTCAGATCCTGGAGGCCAATCACAGTTATTTGACATGGGTTTTCTCCAACTCAACAAGGTAGACCTCCCTGGAGTTGAATCCCTGTCACACTTTGCATTTCTCTGACTTCCCCTTTTGCTACCAGCCAGAGAAAACTCTGCTTTTTAAGGGCTGATGTGATTAGACTAGGCCCACAGATAATCTTTCTTTTGCCATATGACTAAGCAAAATCATGGCAGCAACACCATGGGCCAAGGTCATAGGGCCATCCTAAAATTCTGCCTACCACCCCACCTTAATCAAGTAATCGGTTTAACATTATCAGTAATAGGACAAATTGAAATTATGTATCACCTGCTAGGATGCAATGAGAAGAAGCTG